TAAGAAGAAGAACAATCCGATAGTGAAATCATTCCATCGTGGTTTGTGTCTCGACCTTACTTGACGCTGCTTATGACTGTCAAGAGCCAATAGACTTCTACGAACCGTTTCTGAATCAAGATATTTTGGGTCTGATCGTTGGAGAAACTGACCGTCAAAAGATTTCAGAAAATGAGAAATTCCGAGAAACCAGCGCGGATGAAATAAGAAGACTCATTGGCTCGTGCTTGCAAATGAGCCTGGTCAAGATGCCAATGTACGAGATTACTGGAGCTCACGACTGTGTCTCGGTAGTCAAGCTGGCAAGATCATGAGAAGAATCACATTGGAAGGATTGTCGAAGTGTCTCAATTTGGCAGACAACGATACCTTTAACGGCGACCGCCTACACAAAATTAGAAAGTTCATAATCTTGGACGAGGCTGCTGCTAAGTGGTATTCACCTAGAAAAGAAGAAATCGATAATCGCTTGATCCAATCCGACGCAGGATTGTTTGGCAATACTTGCCGGCTAAACGGTACCGCTACGGCATCAAAATATTCAAACTGTACAGCAATGGTGGATACACAACGGGGTAAAAATCTTTGCTGGCAAAGATCCCTTGAGAAGAACCACTTGTCGACAAAGTTGTTCTGCAGCTAATGGGCGGATGAAGGACTCATCCTATGCACAGGTAACTACTGGTCCAGTTTTTGACTAGCAGCAAAGCTGATTCCAAGAAGCGCATCTAGGCGGAACTTCTAGAAGGAACAGTAGAGGGATTCAACAGAGATCACGATAAAAATTGAAGAATGGTCGGATATGCTACAGAGACGAAATAGGATTTAGTGCTGAAATTGAGAGATGGAGGGGATTCGCGCATGATCTCCACATAACCTGCGTTGCCCTCGGATCGTCTAAAAGCCGAATTTTGCGGAAAACTGCAACGAAATGTGACCATTTGTTGACCTGTCCCACCAAATGGCAGCATAAACACCATTTGTACATAAGACAGCAAAATGGTAGAAGATAACTTTTTGTACTTAATGATTTAAACAGCAACAGTGAACACATGGAAGTTATACAAGTATATTTAAGAATGTTCGACTGAATGACTTCGGACTGGACGTGCTCGACATTACTACAAACGAGAGTACACATCAAGTCGTCAGTTCCAACAACAAGACATGCACTAGAAGAGGTGCCTTTTTGGAAGTTCTTATCAGGAGATATTTATAATGTTACGCAATTGTCGAAAGAATAGGGACGAGCGGCGGCTACAAATGGAGCACGAAGAGTCAATACTCGTAGCAGTAGATGCAAAAGTTTCCCTGTTTAATTTCAAAAGAAGATCACAAATCATGGTCCATATAGTATTATAACTCCTCAGTGCTGTTTTAACATGTATCTAATTGCTTGCTCACAATCAGTGTTTTCTTTGCATTTGCTTGTTGATCTCATTACAAATGTTTATGTTTGAACTAGGCTCAAGATTTTGTAACACTCAGAAACCCTTTGTGAGTCTGATGTATATCCAATCGTTTTGTGGATCATCTTGTTTATGGTTATGTTGATGGTTGATCTACAATATGAATACATAAAATATAGTAATAAGTCACGCATGTGCGAAAAATTTATCAAATAGATGTCGAACGCATGTGTCTCGTGCTGTAATAGGTGGCCTGCAAAATGCGCATTTGTCCTGCGCTGTCGTCAACGTGTTAAAAAGCATAGCATAATCTGACTTTCCTTGTCACTTGAAGGCACGTTCTTGAATTAGGCACGCTCATCTGTTCCATCCCCGATCGTTGAAGACAGGTGGACAAGCGTTGATGTCGAGCCTCTTTGCGGCTTGAAAGTGCGCACCAGTACGCCAGAAGCTTGTTCTTCTCGCAATTTACACCTTCAACCGCAAGCCCCGCCTTGCGCTCTTGGCTGCCTATTGGAGCTTGCGAGTAAAGTGCGGCCGCGGTTACGTTAGCGTCAGCTTTGCGGCTTAGTGTCACTGGTACCAGAGCAACCAGATCTAGCCGTTTGTAATTCGTCCAAACATGCCCTACTCTATCTCAGAGTTGATGGTTGCTGGAAGAGGGAGAGATTAGTTATAGCGTAGTCAGGTCGCTTCTTCTTTTCTAGACACAACGCCCCTTCCAGCTTCATTTTTAACGCTCTTACACAATCATTTCATCCCGAGCCTTGCCTTTGAAATTCTTTCTGCCATTCCCTGTTATCGCTCAAGAATGGCCTCAACTGAGGCTTTTCTAGTGATTTCTTTTCATTTTTCCTCAGTAGCAGTCTACACGCGCTACTACTTTCATATTCGTGCGGTATTACCACCTAACCTGATGGGGTGGTGAAGCTTCAAGAGGCGCACCACCGGTTTCGTTATTTTGCGTTTGAAGATTCATTTCCAAAGCCAAGGCCAGAACTTGCAACCACTTTTAATAAAACATGTTATATGTGATTATGTTTAACAATTCCAACGAAAAATTTGTCAGAAAAGTGTGTAAAATAACAGCGATTTTGCGCTCGCCCACACATTAGCCAGTATGCATGCAATTGTCCCAAAAGTAAGAGTTTACCCCTCCCCCTGCTATCGATATCCCTGGAATGAATGATTCCTTTCCATATTTTTACTAGCAACACTGTAGGGGAGCTTTGTTGATATAGAGTGAGTACATTTGAAAAAAGAAGCAAATCCAGATCTTTTTCTTCGAAAAAAAAAACATGTTGTCCCAAGGGTATAGGTCCACTTGAGTGTTCAGACTTTCCCAAGGATATAATGCCTTGCAACATCCCTTCTCCTTTCTAAAATTTCGATCGTGTGCTTTGGCCTTCTTAGGACAAGTTGGGAGATCATTCAGAGGTACCACCATGGTACTCGCCCAACCCCCTCAATCTTTCTTCGAACGCCTTTGTTGAGACACTCACGTGATCAGTAAGGTTACCTCGCAGGAATTTTGCCGCAAGATTGAGAAAGCGATTGTATGATATGAGCTCGTTCACGGGAACGTCTTAGTAAGCATTGTAGTTCCTGAGGTGTAAGGTAAACACGACTAGACTTTTACAGAAGCCAGCGGAGGCGACCCAAACCATAACCTATCGTGAGCGAGTCCGCTCATGAAGAAGAAGCGTTGCTTCTCCTTTAAATTGCAACATTCACTTGTCAAGCTACTATTACCACCAGAGAATTTCCTGCTCAAGCTGAGAGATGAACTTTTTCGCTTTTCTTGAGATGCTGCGGTTACTGACTGCCAAATCATTGTGATCCTTAATTTACCTTTTTTTTACTCTAGTAATTGTATTATATCTGAAATGACACTGCGGAACATATGAAAGGAGAAGTAATAACAAGTCATTTTCTTAACCTTTCTTTATAGGGACACAAGACAAAAGAACAAATTGGACCCAAACTTTTGGGACGCCGTTTCTTGAAAAAAAAAGTGGATAAAACCCTGGATTTTTTTACTTCTAGGTGTACAAAAGTCATATAAAAGAACCTCCATGAGATGTCACTAGTAAAAATGTGGAACGAAACGGTTAACTTTATTAGTGATATGGGATAAAAATGGGGTGAACCTATACCTTTGGGACTTACTAAGTTCCACTACCCACGGGGCGTGTAAACGTTTCCCATACACATGGCTAATCCTGCCCTCAATAATACTTCTTTAGAAAGTGGTGGAATTTTTCAATTTTTGGGATACGTTTTCTATTACTTCAGTTTTTTAGATATTTCACAGCATTTGTTGTTCTAGGAAAAAATTACGTAGCCTGTTGATACCACCCTGAAGCTTGTGTATACCTGCGCCTCTTTCTTTGAGGACACATTCCGTGACTGGAACGGTAGGTTATTGCGCTCGACAATTAACACAATTTGGCACATAAATGACCCATCAGGCGAAAGAGAACGAAAAACTGTAAAACCCTCAGAATCACAATGCGCACTGGTCCTATGGGCGGAATTTGCGCTCCGCCGCTGCTGAAATCTCTTTAGACATCCACCGCTCTCTATATGGTGAATTAGAGTCAAATACAGTACGAGGTGAGGGCAGTCAATGAGGCCTTCGTATGGGCGAGCGCAAAACACGCCCATCGCACGATCAGCATGCAGTATGGTTTCAATATTCTTGGCTTTTTTCGATTACAGGTGTAATATTCAACTGCTTACATTCGGCCACAATAACACATACCCATTCAAACGTGAAATGTGTTTATAAAGGCAGCGATCGCGATAGTATGATTCAGATGAAACGCAAAACGTTGATTTCACGCTTGGAATGTCTCAAGGCTGAGAGGGAGATCGTTGGGAGAGCGTCTCCTCATGGAAGTATGATACCGACAGGGGAGATAATGAAGTACTTGGTAAGAAGTGCACTCAGGAATGGAAGCAAATTTTAGCGATAGCGGAATCGATCAAGCTAACTGCTGTGAACATCCCTTCTACATCAACGGCAGTGGGCAGGTCTGAGCTGGTGACGTTGACAAGTTCGTTTTCGCGCATCATCACGCCGTAGACTACACGCCTGCGGTCGAAAGCTCCAGCTATAACCTCTTTTGGTAGGTTCCTAACCCCGCCGCTATACAGCTTTCCTTTCATTTACGTGGGATAATTCGCGACCGCTGCCTTCAACATACGCCTTTGCAGCATGTTTGAATGGCTCCATCCCCACATATCTATAGAACAAGGCATCAAAATTTGATGGATGAGCCTCAGCGCACCTAGTATATGAAGATTGAGAGAATTGTGGAGGAAATCAAAAGCACCGCAAAAAATTCCTAAGACGGAAGTGCCCTGTCTTTTCTTCCGTGTCCGTGCTGAAAATTCGGGACATCGAATAATTTTCCCTGAAGTAGAAGACGAATATTTGGGACGAACTTGTGTTTTTTACGTTCTCGCCTCCACCATCCAGTCTCAGATGTTGGCGAGGTGCCCGCCGCCACCTGCTGCTCGAATGCCTTAACGACCTTAACGCAAAACTACTGAATCACGTCAATCTGATGCAGACCAAACATCAGATCATACCTCCGTCATATCGGCTCTTTCTGCTGGATCTTTAACAAAAACTCTTTCATCGATAAATGTTCGAAGAGTTTCAGGAACACAATCTGGCAAAGTCAGGAATTCACCATTTGTGATCTGTAGAACAACTCAGATAGCGTGAAGGCTCACGATATGCTAAGAAAAACGATCACGAACATGAACTTTCACTTCAGCATTCGTTTTGCCTTCCCAGGGTTCGGCTCCATCAGAGAAAATTTCGTAAACTACAACACCAAAACTGAATACATCCGTTTTCAGAGAAAATGAAAAGGTGGTGATTGTCTCTGGAGCCAGCCATTTAATCGGAAGCCTCATAGCTGTGCGAATTTGGTAATGTGTTCCCATGCGAGACAATCCAAAATCACTTATCTTCACCTGAAATGGAGTACTTGAGGAAAGTGCGTTTATAAATCGTGATCTACATGAGCGCAGAAGACACCTGCGAAGGTAACATTTGCAAAAAGCATTTGAACTAACTACTTTGTCTTGAGTAATAAGGCAATTTCTCGCAGCAAGATCTCTATGCATACAACGGTTATAATGTAAGTACTCGGTTCCTTGAGCCGCTCCAAGGCACATTGTTGTTTTATCCGGAACTTCAACACGGCCAGCATTGGCTTTAAGCCAAGAGTTTAGAGCACCACCTAAAACGGTTGCAGTAGCTTCGAAAAAAACTACGCATAGCTAATGTACGTCGCGGCATTAGAATAACATAAATAATCATATTAGCTATGGTATGAAATTTGACGTTTTTCTGGAGAATGCACCTTTGATAAGTTTGCTTTTTCCCGATTCACGGACTACAAACAGGAGTCCTTTCGCCAACCACGGTCAGACTCCAAAATACACCGATTTCGGACTTTATACGAAAGGTTTCTAGAAAGCATCTCCCCATAAACCTCTCCTACCGTCTCTGATGTCACTTGAAAACCTGCTATCAGATAACATTTCCTTATTACGACTTCCTTGTTGGGGAGATTGCATCGGTCAATCCTGTACGCTGGGTATGGATGTTGGTATCTTGTTGTCTTTGTGTGATACGTGGTGGGCCGAAATTGTGGTAACCGCAAGTGCGCCCGTTCGAACCTTTTTTCTGAATCATCTCATTTTCCTCTCCCTTCTCGGGCGTAGGATAATAAGAAGCAATGTCTTCTTCCTATTAAAATCAAATACCATAAAATTCTTAAAATTGGGGGAACAACCACATCGTGGTATGCCAACCCCCAAATTAAACCGAGGAGGGACTGTGGCACGCTACATTTGAGAGCAGTTCAACAAAAAGAGCTATTACGGGTATTGATGAACATTTCAATGACCTAGAAACTAGCTGTGATGCAAACGAAGAGGAGCCAATGAATACAGTTACGATCAGAACAAATATCAAATGCACAACTTGCTCCACTAATTGCCACTTTCGTACAGTCAAAGAAAGAAAGGGGTGAAGAAACCAACCTGTTGCGACCAGCGCCACGACTAAACGTGCTCAAAGGCAACGCTGGAAAGAGGCAGGACGAAAATACCAATTTAAACTTCACGTCGATTTTCAGCGGCTCGGGATCATGGTCTCCCTTCAAGTCGCACACCAACTCTGACCATTCCATCATTGCATCATCATCCCGGTCAGTGACCCTTCTCGCCTCTCAGACCTCTCGGTCTTATTCATCACCTTCTTGACGCCGTTATCTTTATGCGAGCTCTCGCCATAAGGATTTTTTTGCGTCGACCCATTACCAAGAGGCTGCCCAATGACGGTCTCTGAAATTGCAACTTCGGAAAGCGACTCGGTATTCCCTCTTCAACTCTTTGAAACATGTTCGGTGCTCTCAAGGTTCAAGCACACGTCTCTGGGATTGCGAAAAGTGGAAGTTCAAGAACTGTGCACACTCAGAGGATTGGGGCAATCACCTAGAAGAGGATGGCTCACAACGATGAAGCCAGCGTGAGTCACACTTTTGATCTCAGGATCTGCCGTCACTCCTTCCAGAAAATCTTGGGAAGCAATCATTATTTGAAGAGGTTACCGACTTTCTATGCTGGTTTTTATTGGAGCAACCCGAATAGATTCAACTGATAAAATGCAAAAAGTTTCTGCACGAGCTCGAGGTGCGCCGCATCTCTTACGGATTGGGTTAATGAGAAAATTTTCGAACTAAACTTCTTTGCGACCACCAAAGTCAGAGGCAGTTGTTGCCAAAAAGTGAGAGCAAGTCTCCGAGATAACGTCTAGTTCACAACAGACTTTCTCCATCCAAAAGTGCAGCTCCATTGGAGTTCATCTTCCACAAATGTTAAAATTAACTCGAAGGTCTTGCAAAAGACTTTAATGAGGTACGGTATGTTGTTCTGGATTTACGAGCATTTTGCTCAATGATCGTTTGCTCTTCAATGAAGCTGGGCTCCCTAATACGCGTTCAAATCGACCAAAGCCATCCTGGCGCTCACTTCCGGGCCACTGGAGCAAGGAATTGTGACCTTCTTCCTCTCAGGCCCTTAACGCCACGCGTCAGGATTA